ATGGGGCGCAGGCTCAGCCCCCTGGGGCCAGGAGGGCGGAATGGGGCGCAGGCTCAGCCCCCTGGGGCCAGGAGGGCAGGATGGGGTACAGGCTCAGCCCCTTTGGGCAGAGTAGAGAGGTGCAAGGTGCGGACACTGCCTCCTGCTCTGCCCCCAGGAGCAGAAGGTGTATGTGCAACAGCGGCTGCGGGAGCTCGGGCCCCTGGTATGGGAGCTGCTGGACCGCCGCGGTGCCCACTTCTACCTGGCGGGGTGAGCAGTGCGTGGGGAGGGGGTGAGCTCAGCCCTGGGGGCCCGGCCCACACTGAGCCTCTCGCCTGCTCTCTAGCAATGCCAAGTCCATGCCAGCTGACGTCACCGAGGCCCTGACGTCAATCTTCCAGGAGCACGGCGGGCTCTCCGGCCGCGACGCAGCCAGCTACCTTGCCAGGCTCCAGCGCACACTGCGCTTCCAGGTGGAGACCTGGGCCTAGGCCTCGGGTGAGCCCGGAAAAGAGTCTAGAGGGCACGTGCCTGGGGGCGTCTCCACCCTCGGGCCCTGTCTGATCACTGTGTCAGGAGCACTTGGCCCCCAGCCTGGGCCTGCGCCACCAGCCCCTGCACACAGGCCATCCTTCTGGTGCCAGCCCACTCCAGCCTCTGCTGCCGCCACCGCCCTTGGCCATCCTCACCTCACCAGCACCTTAGCCTCCCCGCCCTGCCGACATGGCCCATGCCCGTCCCGTGTTCTGGCTGGAGCTCGGCTGCTGGCTGGGTTGGGGCCTCCTGCTGGCCCGTTCCCCACAGGCCCAAACGGTGACCCGGAAAAGCACCCAGCAGCACGATTGGGCCCCGTGAGAGCTGGCCCTGCCCCCTGCCCTGCCCTGGGATCCCCACCGTCCCACTGCAGTCTGGGGACAGGGTGCCCACCGTGAAGTGCCAGGCCCACCAGGGCACAGGTCCAGGCCTGGCGGCAGTGAGGACCCAGGCTTTCCTGTAGAGCCCAGGGTGGGGCTCAGCCAGCACGGCACCTCTTGGTTCCAGGAAGGTGAAGGCGGGGCAATAAATTACGGCCTCGGGCCACCTGACTGTACTGCTTTCTTGGCGTGTCTTCTTTGTGTGTCTTCATGTGCCTCGGGCAGTGGGTGGGCCACCCATCCTTCCACATCAGGATGGCCGCTCCCGTGTTGGCTGTGTGCATGCAGGTGTGCATTGTGTACGTGCGTGTGTGCATGTGTGCACCAGTGTGTGCGCGCACATGTTTGTGTTGGCGTGTGTGCACCTGTG